ATTTACATTTGCAAATATCTTTCTTAGATGAACCTACTGAAGAGAAAATACGTTCAATTCTGTGTGAATTTCATTTGGGGTCAGAGGTCATAGCGCGATCGGATCACAGAGCGATGTGATATTTTGACCAAACAACTTCTAGGTCATTGCGCGTCACTACATAGCAATTCGTTGGCCCGTTCGTGTAATAAATACAATTTAACTCGAAATGTATTCGTTTCAAATGTAAATACAAGTAATAAACAACAATGTTAAAAAGTTCACTGGGAAATGAACTTTTAGTTGGTACGTGATCAAATCTACTGAGAAGCCCTTCGGGCTTCACAGGATTTGATCACGTGACCAACTAAAAGTTCATTTCCCAGAGAACTTTTGAACATTGTTGTTTATTTCTTAAGTAAACCATGGTTGGTGAAAATCTTTGTTTTTCTTCGATTATTTTTTTTTATCCAAAATGTTTCTTTTGCACTTGATGTACGGATACTACATGTACATGTATCGTCAACATTTTTATTCAATAAAATCTAGATCGATTTCTTTCTCCTTAATTTTGTCTAGAATTCCACATCAATTTTAATTTCATTACTTTTCTGATCTAGTTTTTCAAGAAAAATTTGTTGGAAGTCATCATTTCAACCTTTAGCTTTTTTCTTTTTGTTTGCTATTAAAAGTATTTTTATTGATAGTGTTTCGCATCTCTCGGTTAATTGTCAGTGATAGTTCTACATAAGTAAGATTATGACGATCAGAGTATGGATTCGAAAAATCATGAACTTCGAAATTTTTAACAGTCAAAAATTCAGTATTACCTATCCAATAATCTATGACACTTATACCTTAACATGTAATTTTGCCAGTACTTTTCTATCATTTCCCATACAACATTCAGAATAAAAAGATCAGTATGTTTACAATAATCAAGTAAAAGTTTGCCAAAATTATTCGTAACTAGGTCTTTTGAGGACTTTGTGATTGCATATTAAGTAAGTCTAATACATGTAAACTTTCAGGTAAAAAAAACAGATTAAGTGTCACAGCTAGCAGTGTAATCTGGGTCCATTCCAGCTCTTGCATTATAATAACCAATTTAACAAACGTATTTACAATTATTAGAAAAACACATTCTTCTTCCAATTGTTCAAAAACATCACAAGATACATATTTAGAAATTTCGGGTGGTATGTAAACAGCGCCTAAAAGTAATGTTTCATTTAACATTTTTGTTAAGGTTGAATTTTAACCATAGACAATGTTTACTTGCGGAATTGATTATTTCTAATGAATGAACGAGCGTTTCTCTTACAAAAACAACAATACACGTACATCTGATTTAAAAAAAAAAACGAGATAACTCGCGACGATGCTTTCCAAACATTTCAAAACCAGGTATTGTTTTATATAATCTGTCAAGTTATCACTTTTAGATTCGTTTATTCCTATGATATCATAATTTGTGATGTATTTAATAAATTATGTACAGTTAATCATATTTGTTGATCCACAAACATTGAGGGAAACGATTTTAAGAGAGGATATATCACCACAGGATCTGTGTTCATCCTCCTCAAATCCTTAGTTAATTGATTGTCCTGCATGATTGAATTCCATTGGGGTGGGTTCTCTCACAGGCTCCTTCGTTGGGGCGGGTCCTCTCAAGGGCTCCTTTGGGCCGCTATCCTGGAACTCATAGTCGGCTGGTACGTACAGTTGACCGTTATCGTACGGTTTATCCCTTACCATCGGATACTGACCGTGTCTCCTTGATCGCGGAACTGTCTAATCACAGGATTTAGAGCTGTCATGTTGTAAATTTTGAATTTTACCGGGTGGCAGCAGATAAAAAATTTAAGCTGTCATGTTGTAAACTTTGTATTTACTGCCACCCGGTAAATCAAAAAATTTACAACATTTTACAGAGCTCTTCAGCGATCTTCAACAACAGATGGAAATTGTTGACGTTTTCCATAAAGACTGCCCTTCAAACGAAATACGTTATCCAACACAAGGTCTATATCTTTTTGGTATACGAATCTAGCCACTTTTGGCCTAGGTCGGTCCGGGATAAAGCGTCCGAAGCTATGTACATTCAAAAATTCGATGTGTTCATCGATTCCAAGTTCAACTGGATAGGGATTGTCTAAGTTTCCATTCAGTGTCTTCTCTTGGATATTCCTTTCCAAGTCCAGTGAAATACAGTAAGCGGATTTACAGTTTATATGACAATAAGCTTGGACTTGCATCAAGGCCATCACCAATTCTGCTGTTGATTCGCTTTCCGTTCATATATATATGTTCCGTTCATACATATATGTTTCCGACTTGTAAACTTTACCCATGTTACAACAAGATAAAGAAATATTCAATTCATGCATCTATATATGTTTAATGTAAGAACTGCCTATAAACTGATTTTACACTGAAAAAATGACATAAAGTGGGCATAGTAGGTTTTCTTTAATTTTTCGGTCAAAGCCATAAAAATATACAATTTGTGAAAACAATTTTTTTTAAAATCTATTTAAAGACAAAAATATGAATTTGTTGTTGTATTTAACAGTTACAGTTTTATATTTGTAAAACTGCCTTCGAGAATTTTTCACTGATAGGGTATATTCGGGTAATTCCGGACAGCGGGTAATTCCGGACAGAAATAAAAAGCATCTGTTTTATGTTATCGTCAATGAAAATCGTCTTATTTTCTCTGAATTGTGTGTATCATTTTGGAAAATAAAACCTTTATTCTTTTCTATCATATTCATTTATAAGCAAAGGGAATTCCCGATTATTTAGCATGACGTCAATAAAATGACCTTTGCACTTTCTGTTTTGTTGTTGTCGATTTGCGGGAATATTCAACTTGCCTACACCAGAGACCAAAGTGAAAAAACTACGAAACAAGTAAGTATTAAATGAAAATATTTTAATAACTGTAATATTTTAGTTCCAAAGAAGTTAAACATCGAAAAAATTTATGTTATATTATATTTTTATGTCAAATTTTAACTTAAAATGAAAAAAAAATAAATTGTCCGGATTTACCCTACCAAAAAAATTAAGTGAGGGTAATTGCGGACATAGTTAAATTGTGTTCTTTTAGCATTTCTACGTGATTTATTTTCATCTAGGCCTACATTAAATCTATAAGATTACGAAATTCTAAACTAGGCCTATTTGAATGAGTTGTTTACATAATATCATACATAATAAATTAATTTCAAGAATGTATTATGCTGTATCAGTGTATGCTACAGAGACTCATGCAGAGTCACGCACTGGGGAAAATGGGTCGCTGCAGAACTGTAGCTCTCCGGAAAAAAATCAGCCTATTGACAGACCGGAGTATGTATTTTTTTTTTCGTATAGCTACAGGTCTGCAGCTAGGGAAAAGGTGTGAGGGGGCTCTTAAACTAAAATTCTCGGGCACAGATAAAGCATTTTAAAAGCTTTCATAATCATCAACTCGTGTGTGCGCAGGTGTGGGTGGGTGATGTCCGTTACAGTTATCTACTATCTACTAAAAAAAAAATGAAATACTGATTATTTAAAAAAATAAAAATAAAACAGGGGCCAAAATGCGAGTTGGGCGAAGAGAAAATCAAATCCATAGTAACATGACGGAACAGTCATGAAGTGGAAGAGCTCAAATATATATTTAATACTCTGTTCTGCCCCCTCCCCCCTTTTCCCCTATAAAGCAGCTCTTTTTTAAGAGTGAGTGATGATACAATAATTTTTTACAATTTCAACGTACAAAATAAGGTGCCTATAATACGCTCGAAATATTTATTTAAAAATTATACTTATAAAATACTCAAATCTACACACAGTGACACGCATACATATAATAAATTCTTCCTACATCTTATCCATTTCAGTTCTATACATTTCCGCAGAGATGCCAATTTTAGTCATCCACAACTTATGGGCCGTCGGAATGCACCACTGGGGACCTAAAGAATTGGCAGTGGGGGCAGGGTATAAGCTCCAACATGAAGAAAACAATCCGTATGATTGTAATGCGACGGCAATATTAGACGGGCCAAATAAGAAGGCATATTTAAAACGGACAGATGCCAAAATAGTATCGTCTTTGTTTACTATTGTACCAGGGTCAAAATGGTTATTAAAACCTAAAGAGGTCCCAGTAGTACTGAATCAACGTGTTGGTCCACAACAGCGATGTTCGATAGGCTGCAGGATTTCGGACGATTCTGTACTTCAACGAGTTGTCCACGAACTTGATTCTTCAAATATCATTTATGAGATCAAATATTAAAAGTAAATGACTGTGTGACATTTTTTATTTAATTAAATAAAATTCCGAGAATTCTTTTTTTTTTCTTCATTCAATCGAAAACATATAGGGAATGAAGCTTATTCCTTATTATTTAGTGTAGACAATTTTTTTTTTCTTCCGGAAAAGGCTTCAAATTTAACACATTTTCAAAGTTATGTCAAGCGGAGTAATATGTTTTTGACGTATTAAACTCATTGTAACGTACATGTAGGCAAGTTATGTTATACAAAATGGGGGGGGGGGATGCAAAAACGTGTCGGTAAGCTGGATAACAACTTAAATTTTTCGCTTCCAGCATTCGAGCTCAGGCACCCCCCACTTTTTTCCTCAACCTTACTTTTTCTATAGAAATGTTAGTTGAAAGTATTGTTCCCCCCCCCCCCCCCGATAGTGATGTGCGAAAAAATGTAGTAAAAAAAGTACAAAAATAGGTCCTGAAAGTAGTTGACAACCCCCCCCCCCCCCACCGAAATAGGATTTTCGACTTAGGGCAATCCCCCCCTTTTATTTTGCTTGACAACATTTTCAGGTAAGTTAAATTTCCCCCCCCCCCCCCCCCACTTTCACGATGTTACGTGCCTGGATCTGAAAATCAATCTGAATTTAACCACATTTCCTCGGCTATTTAAGATGAAAATAAATCACATAGTACTCATTTTACATATCATTCAATAGAACATAAGGTTAAATATTTTTACAGAACATGCCAAAAACATACAAGCAACGGAAAAGAGAACCTTACAGCTATGAGAGTATGCAGAATGCAGTGTCCTCTGTAATGAAAGGCACTTACTCAATTAGAAAGGCTGCAGAAATGTTTAATGTAAATAAATCAACCCTCCATGACACGATTAAAAAAAAGTATAAGAACCCTGGTCAACCTGGTAGAAAAACAGCGATCCCACCAGAAGTTGAACATAAGATAGCAAATGCTTTGAAGGAAGCATCTAAACAGGGCATGGGCATTTCAAGGCGGCAATTACTGCGCCGGGTAGGCAGTTTATGCAAAAAAATGAAAATCGAGGTTGATCAATTTAAGCAACAGACCCCCGGAAAGGACTGGTTTGTTGGTTTTATGAAGCGACATCTAACACTGTCAATTCGCAAACCAGAGAAGTTAGCGACAACAAGAGCAAGGATGACAAATCCGGCGATAGTCTCAAAATATTTCGATGATCTTGGGCAAATTCTGAAAAATCTTGGCTTGTTATCAAAACCTGCGTGCATATGGAATTGCGATGAAACTGGAAAAAGTTTTGAGCACACACCAGTAAAAGTCATTGCGGAAAGGGGATCTAAGGCTGTGGTAGGGAGGACATCGTCATGCAGGACAAATATAACGGTCATGGCATGTGTGAATGCTGCTGGGGGTAAGATGTCTCCATTGTTTATTGTCAAAGGCAAGACATCCAGATCCTTGCATGGATTTAACACCCTTGCTGCCCCACAAGGAACACGCTGGCACTACCAAGCTAATGGCTGGATGAACGACGACATTGGCGAAAAATGGTTTGAGGACGTGTTCCTTATGGAGTGTGGCACAGAAAGGCCCCAGCTCCTGATTTTGGATGGCCACTCCTCCCACGAGAGTCTTTCCATCATTGAGTTGGCCATCCAGAATGATATCCACATTCTGAGCCTCCCTCCTCATACTACACATGCTCTTCAACCTCTTGATCGCTGTGTATTTGGTCCACTTAACAGCGCTTACAACACTGAATGCTCAAACTTCCTTAACCAGAACCCCACTTAACAACATCAACAAATGGTCATTTCCGGGTATGTTGGCAGTTGCATGGGAAACAGCTGTCTCCAAAACAAATATCCAAGCTGGTTTCCAATCATGTGGCATATTTCCGTTCAATCCATCAGCTGTTGCTCCTGAGCTGTTGAAGCCTTCCATTCCTTCAAATAAGCCTAAACCCCTTCTGTCTTCCACAGATGAAATATCAGCAACCACCACTCTTTCTAAGCATTCTGAGGTATCCTCTGGTCCCCCCTCGGTTTCTGGTCCTTCTGTATCTTCTTCTAGTGGTCCAGTATCTTTCACTATTGTCTCTTCAGGAGTTGGTTCATCCTTATTGCCTACAGTCACCCCATCTACACGACAGGATCTTTCCATTAATGAGGCCCCTGAAATCAATGAAAGTCAAGATAGTACAATAAGTCTTGTTTCACATGTTGACAATATGACAACTCCTCCCTTGGCAGATGACCCAGAAATGCTACTTGCATTGATAAATGATGGCCATGTAGAAGTATTTACCCCAGACGAAGAGGGCACAGTTGAAATTCATCAGTCTGGCATTTGGGATTCCGCCATATCAGACATTTTTCTCCCACTTCAGTCTGTTGAACCAAATAAACCAGCTGAGCCTAAACCGAGATCAAAGTCTTCATCTCACAGACTCTTGACCTCGGAAGAAATTCTTCTGGAAAAACAGATGATGTGGCAGAAGAAGGAGAATGCTAACCTGAAAAAACAAAAGAGAAAGGAAAAGCTTGATTTAAAGAAAAAAAAATGAACCCCTTAATACATTTAATCTGATGGCAAAATTTTGATTGACAAATTGTTTATTTATTGTTTCTGTTAAGCATGATATTTATTTCATTGTTGATGACGAGTATTTTATACTTAACAAGGCACCACTACAAGAATGAATACCTTAAGTTTCTGTATTTTTATATGTTGACAACTGAAAACGAGTCACCAGAAAATTACTGTTAACTGGTTAATTTAAATAATTCATACTGTTAACTGGTTAAATAAATAAATACCCTTTCTGGCATGAAGTTCCCAGCTGTACGATAATTTCAATTTCTCATGTCTCTTTTTAAAGGTGTTGATTATCTAAGGAATGAATTTAATAGCTACCCATTTTATACGGTATAAACTGGGTTGGGGCAGTTTACGCTTTATAAACCGCGAAGCGGTTAATAAAAAGGCGTAGAAGTGCTCCAACCCATGCAGTTTATACCGTATAAAATGGGTAGCTACAAAATTCATTGCTTATAATTTAATTTTCATTCATTTTATTTAAGGAAAAAAGATGATTGTTCTAACAAAATGACTTTTAATTTGTACAAAATTTGATTGTCGTCAGGCGGATTGATACGTTTTTGACGGAAGTCATTGTGACGTAGGCAACCCATTTTATACGATATATAAAAGTATTTTTTTTTCATCTTATCAATTACAGCGTTACAACCAGAATTAATTTATTAGCAACTAGTTGTAACATTATTTTTAAAAGGTGTATTCTACTTCTCCCAAGATCGTATGTGTGTGTGTATTCCTCTTACTCTGAGTTTCTGATCAAATTATAGTATTTTAAAGTTCTTAAATTAACTTACCATTGATGCTTTTCAGTTACGATGATTTTAGCGTTCTCTTTTCCTTTTGTCAATATATGACTTCTTCTCCGCTGTTTACAGCTGTATAACTTGTCATCAATGCGACTAACGCTTCAATTTATATATCCAATGGCTATTCCTTTATACCAAGGGGTTGTCAGGTCATTCCATTAATTGATGCAAAAAGGCATTGATTTTTTTTTTTTACCTTTCAACGCGTGCCTCAACAAACAGATACGTAAGTTGCAACTTTCAAGGGACTGTTGTGTGTGTGTGTTTTTTTTTTTTTTGTTTTTTTTTTTTTTTTGTTTAAACAGAATGAAAATGTTTAAATGAAAGGCCGGTCTCTCTTTCCGGCATAAATTGAAGTTTTATTCAGTATGGTTAAATTATGATCGCAGTTTCCCGGTAGATGTTTATTAACAAATGTACTCATGACTTCGAAATGTACCTCAGCGATTTTAATGTCAACCAAATATAAAAGCTCGCTTTTTTAAAAAAAGAAATTCAGATTAATAGCGATGTCAACTTGTCGAATTGATATTTAAAATTCATAAATACCCCCCCCCCCCTCCATCGAAAAAAAAAATCTTACTTTGTACATCTTCTGTCTCATTCTTGGCTTCTTCTTTGTTGAATATTCATTCATTGTGTTTAGAATAAAAGAATTTGCAAAAATAGATATTCTGACGCAAAAAATCGAATTATTGGTCTTTTCTGTACTTTTAGCCTAAATTAGTATTTACTATAAAGCCACAGTACACCACATAAATAAACAATGATAAAGTTATACACACAAAAAAATCGTAGAATTTTCATACACATCCATATGTGCGTGTTTGTAAAGGGAAAAGGGGGGGGGTAGTGACATATCAATCAGGATCGGATTATTTATGTTATTCTCATTTGATAATATATAGTTTTATTCTTTTAAAGAACAGATTATTTATTGTCAAATGCAAACTCCCCTCTCATCAAAAACAAATGGTAGTCCTCATAGATTCTGAAGTCCAAAAGTAACAAACGAGATGTAAGATACTTTAGTTAGAAATTTAATTTTAAATATTTCTGAATAGAACTGTATTAACAACTGAGATGCTTTATATAATCGTGCTGCGGATCTTTGAAATCTTACAAATAATCTATTTACTTACTGTATGCTATTATTTGGCATTGCACGTTTACGCCGCCATACAAGATTGGCCTGTCCGGATTTACCCGCATTGTGTCCGGATTTACCCCACTCTGCCAATATGTTTTATTTTGCTAATATTTGAATAAGACCTGGGGGAAAACAATCTAAAACATCAATTTATCGAGGATTATGCATGGAATTCACACATCGATTCAAAACTGGGTTACCCATCAATCAGTTTCGAGCTGCTACTCCCACAGAACAACGCTTATGTGAGTTTTGTCCGGAATTACCCGAATATACCCTATTGAAAGGCTGTCATATCGGTAGAGAAGTGCTGCAAAATTAATTTAGACCTGAACCAATGCACTAAAGGCCTTTGAACAATGAGGCTTTATTTTTTCATGTTAGCAACTAATGCGACTCAAGATCTCAGTCTCATCTGAAGGATCTGAAGGACGGTACGTTCTCCAGGTTCTGAAGTTTGATATAAGTTCGCGACGTAAACAAGGATCATCTTTTTACTCCAAGAGGCTAGAGCAAACGCTCCCACCAATGCGCCATGAAGGCGAAAGCTACTAGATTTATGGTTTTGATTACTGTTTGTCATTTCCACAAAATCATCTGAACAGGTTTTGAAATGTGTGTTCACGAAATTTGTTTTCTTAGTCGTTGTTATGTTGTTTTTTTTTCGGTGATACATGTAGGAGTAAACTAAAATATCTATAACCTTTTCACTATGCTTAATATCTTTCTACTTTTCTTCTTGAAATTGAATTTTGGCAAGGTTATTACAGAAAAGCGAGAGTTTTCTTTGTATCAAAAATATTGTTCAATAAAACTTTTAATGCCTGCGTGCGCAAATTCAATATAATGAAGAAGAATCAACTCCCATATAAAGAATAGAATTGGTCATTTGTTTAGGAGTACAAATCATAAGAATTGCACAATACATAAAAGCATACACTTATGTAAAATCAAAAAAGAACAATACATCAAAATCAAGAAGATTTGATGTGTTGTGACAGGTACAAAAATACAACACTCCTTCAATATATTACAAATCAAAAACATATATAAATACAACACATTACAAAACTATCACACAGTTTAATCCTGAGATATGCACTGACTAGTAAAAATATGCAACAAAACATTTTGCCATTTGAATGACAAGGTATAAAGTATGATCTAAACAAAACAGTGATATGGGGTGTTCATTAATATTTCAGCATATTAAGTCACATTCCTGTAGATAAGATATACCCAGTATCTTATCGAAAGCAGTTATAGAGCACTCCCAGTCTGTATGCGTCCTTTATCTTTGCAATTATTATCTGTAGTCTTGTATTTTAAAAATTTTCAAGATTAAACCCAGACTTTGAACGAACTGACCAATACGTAAGTATGAAACTTCGTCGTCAGATTTTCTTTAGTTCCTTACTGTACCGCCTTTGGCAGTTTGGCAAAATACATATTTGCAAGAAAATGATATAACCTTAACCATAACTTTTTATTGTTTTGGGCTAAGATTTTCATATTCAAAAGATGTATTTCTTGTGACAAGATCCCTCTTTGGGTACCACCAAATTTGAACTCGTGACCTAAGAATTTGATCCACTTTTTCAAAATAAATTCCGAATTCTAACCTTGTCAATAACTTTTAAATAGTCGTTGCTTGCACTTTCATACTCCAAGTATATTTCTTTCTTGTGACAAGACCTTTCAATAGGTAAAAAAATTATTTGGCCTTTGACAATGACCTTAGAGTTTGACCACTTATTAAAAAAATGACCATAACCTTTGAACCATACTGGATTTATGGTTTTTGATTATTGTTTTTCAATTCCTCTAGATAAGATATACCCGGTATCTTATCGAAAGCAGTTATATGCACTCCCAGTCTGCATGCGTCCTTTATCTTTGTTTGCTTTTATTATAACTAGTAGTTTTGTATTTCAAATTTTTAAAGATTAAATTCAGACTTTGATCGAACAGACCAATACGTAAATATGAAACTTCGTTGTCAGATTTTGTTTAGTTCCTTACTGTACCGCCTTTGGCAGTTTGACAAAATACATATTTGCAAAAAAAAATATAACTTTGGACATAACATTTGATTGAATGGGGAAGAGCGTCAAGATCTCTCTTTGGGCCTCACCAAAGAACTTTATTCGGTAGTAACCAATATTTGCCCCCAAAATCAAACTTTGACGGAGTAAAATTTAATTATGTTTTAAAACAGGGGGATTCATGCTGACTTC